GCCGCGCTCCGTCGCCGCCGCCAGCGAAGGCAGCGGCGCTCCCTCTCAGAGGAGGAAGGAGACGAGGTAGCCGACGATGCTCGTCGGCTCGAAGACGACCGCGTAGATCAGCGGGTCCGCGATCGCGCCGTGCAGCAGCCCCATCGAGTTCTCGAACTCAGCTGCACCTCTGAAACATCATGCCAGCGTGCCGCCGTCGATGTGGAGGAAGGGGTCCTCCTCGGCGTCGTCGAGGCTGGTCGCCATGGGCCTAACCCCTCGCCTTGCATGGGAATTCTGGCAAAATGCCCCTTCATCGTCTGCGATGGTGAGGCCCCCCGAGTTGCATGCCCTCTAGGCCCCTCAGGAGCCTCCACCATGCATTCGTCATTATCAGGCCTACCCCCTCGCCTGGCAGGGGTGGTGACCTCGCCGTCCAGCTCCTCGTCGTGAGGCCTACCCCCTCGCCTCGCAGGGGAGTCCACCGTGTAGATCTCCACCGCGTCCTCAGGCCTACCCCATCGCCTGGCAGGGGGACGAGCCGTCGCGTTAGCCATCGCCTCCTCAGGCCTACCCCCTCGCCTGGCAGGGGAGAAGCTCGCCGTAGTCTTGCCAGCAATCCTGCGCCGCGGTCGCGAGCTCGCAGCCGAAGTCGCTGTCGTCGCGGTCGCCGAACTGCTCGCCTCCGTTACCTTCCATGGCTTGCGCAGGCGCGCAGGAGTGGAGGAGGGCGTCTCCCCGAGCACCCGAGTGGCCTCATCAGCAGCCTCCTCAGCCTCAGGCAGAGGCCCCGACGGGGCGTTAGTCCTGGATCCGGCATTAGATTGCCCATCTGCTGCGAGCCATCCGATACGCCGCTGAAGAAGAGCTGCTCGGTCCACGGCCTGGTCATCATCAGGTGCTGGTTTCCGCGGAGGTGGTGGGCGAGGTCGGTCTGGGGCGCGATCTCCCAGTAGCCGCCTGAACATATTCCGTACTTCCGCAAGTGCCTGCATATGTCGAAGCTCCAGACGCACTCGCTCTTCATGTGGTGCTTGCCGCAGTCGGTGGATGAAAGCATCGCGCCTTCCAATGGTTTGTCGCCAGCTGTCCTGCCAGGGAACAACCTGAAGAGAAGCCGCCGTAAAGGATGGTTGCCGCCTTGATTGGGCATCTCTGTGGCGAGCGCAACACGCCACTCCTGCCACGGCCCACTGTTACTCGCCAGACACGTGTAATCTTCAAACCACAACGCCGCCCAGTCTCTGAGGTCCGCTCGCATGTCCGCGTAGTCCTCGACGTCTCGGTCATCAACAAGCCCAGGAGGAGGAAGTCCCATGCCCGTCGGTGCGCTCTCGCCTGCCGCCGTCTTGGTGGATCTCCTGCGCCCAGCAGTGGCGACGGTGCCTGGACGAGGCTGCACGGCCGCATCCAGGACTTGCGTTCTAGCGCCAAAACGTGGCGACGGAACCTGGGGAGGCTGCACCTCAGCCACCAGGGCTTGCGATCCAACGCCAGTTGTTGGCGACGATTGAGCCTGGGGAGTCCGACTAGCGGCATCCAGGACTTGCGTTCTAACGCCCTCCACGCCCTTCATGATGCCGCTGTTGCCCAGCATGGTGTTCGCGTCCTCGATCTGCTGCTTTCTGGCCACTTCCTTGGCGCGGACTCTCTCGTGCAATCTGGCCATGCGCTGCTCAAAGTCATATGGGCCGTCAGGGGCAGGTCGAGCGACTCGAGTAACCACCTTCTCAGGCTGATGACGCCGTGGGCCTCGATGCTGCAGCGGCATGCTGGCGTCGATGTGCTTGGCCAGCTTCTTGTGCGGCCCGATGCCCTTGCGCAAATTACTGTGTACTTCGAGGCCTTTGGTCGTCGGCCAGGTGCACTGCTCACGCAGCTTGAGCTTCCTCCTCTGCTGCGCCCAGGCCCCGCACTTGATGCACACGACCACTGTCGCCTTGCATGTCACGTCGCTGAGGTCGCCCTTCTGGTTGACTGGCACCGACCTGTGACCCAAAGTGTTAGCTATGTGTTCCTTGAGAAAAGACGGCGTCCCTGCACGCCCATTAAGCTGATCATAACCAGGCTGCCGTAGGCGTAGACAACGCGTGCACTGCTGACCGAGGTCCGTATCCCGCCAGTCGTGCCAGTTGTCAGTCCTGATGCTCTTGATGCGCTTGTAGCCCGTGCTGTTCCTCTGCCACCGCTCTTCCTCTTGGTCGAAGATGGGCATGATGTGCGCGATCATCTTAGTGATGTCCTTACACAGAAGCTGGTGCTGCTCCAGCCGTTCTCTGAGCTCACTAGAGATTGCCTCATGCCGTCCAGCTCCTTCTGCCGCGTAGTGATCCGCCACGACGCTGCCATCCGTGATGCGCTTGGTCTCGGCATCGAGGTTGGCGTGGTCTTCCCCAGATCTGTGAGCCCTGACGTGTCGCACCGCTTTCACGTGGGCGAGCCCAGGCAGGCTCTGGGCAAAACCGAAGACGCCGCCGTACCGCTGCGTGACCTGCACCTGCTGCTGAGCCGACTTGTTGAACTGGTGGATCGCCCCTTTGAAGTCCGCGTGCAGCGTCGTTGGTCGGTCAGCCGCCTGACGCGAAAAGGCGAAGGCGAGGTACTCGGCCATGGCTGAGGTCTGCGGCAGGCTAGCTGGCACCGCCGCGTACATCACCCGTAGCGCATCCGTGCCTTGGGGATTGAGCAGTACCGTCGCCTATCCTGCCCGCTGCAACTCAAGTAACGCCGGTTTGGTGCACGACCCGTCGATGGCAAACTCGATCTCCTCCGTGTCCGACGGCACCGCATACTGTACCATATCTTCAGGGCCTTCGTCCACATCATCACCGTCGATTGTGACCACGCAGGCTTGAGTGCCGAGATCCATTCGCGGTAGCTCTTCGTCATGAGATGTGAAGCATCCTGTCACAAGTCGTCCACCCTCGCCGTCATCACGTAGACGTTGTAGGACATGCGCCTCTACTTCTGCTTCAGACCGAGCAGCGGCGACCTCAGGAGACTGACATTCCACCAGTCGGTGTAGCACCGTGTCGACCGCACCGCACTTGCACTTGCCGTCGGTGATGTAGCCCCTGATTCTGGCCCGCGAACGTGTCCAAATACCATCGCACGCGCAGCTCATGATGCAAAACTTCTGGTGGGTGTTGAACTTCCTGCTGTTCGGCCTGATGTAGGGGGCCACGAGGTCGAAGGAGACTCGCAGCGAGGGGTCCTCATACCATTTCTCGCCAAGAGCTAGTTCATGCTGTCGGTGAAGTCCCTGGGCCAGCAGAGTCTCGAGCATTACGGGCGTGGTCTGGGTGATGTCCACGATGTCCCCGTGCTGATTCCCCCACTGGGTCCCAGTGACGACTTCCCAACCTGCCCTTTGGACGCGCATAACTGCTCGTTGTAGTGGTCCTCGTGTTTGACTCCACTACGTAAGTGTCCCTGGTACCGTAACCGCATTGTCCCACCAGTGAATCAGCTCGCTGAAGTCGACGGTGGCGGCCTGGGGACAGCGGTTGGCGATCCAGCACATGCGGCGCCACTGGAGGGCAGGAGCCAGCGCCTCGCGTGCCGCTGGATCTCCGAGAAGCACAAGCTTTGCCGATGCTGAAACTCCCCCATGATAAGGTTTCCGCTGGCTTCGGCAGGTCTTGCGAAACTTGACGAGCTCGCTGTCACTCATGCCGTTGATCTCTACTCCGAAGGTGAGCGCAGGCTTGGCCCCCGTCCTGTAGATGCGCGATATGCGCTCCGCCGCCTTCGTCGGGATCGCCTTTCGAAGTTTACTGAGCTTGCGGAGCCTCTGATGATGACGACGGGCTCTGGCTTTGCACTTGCCTCGCGTACCGCCTGCCCCGCGCCTCTTGCCCCCGGGGAAGTCGATGCCCAGGAAGGATACTGCTGGTTTGACCGACTGCTGCTGCACTTTGAGGCCCTCTGCGATCTGCTTGCTGATGTCGTCCGAGCTGCTCACGATGGCAAACTTGTCGTTGATGGTCGCCTGCAGCTTGTGCGCCACCTCCCGAAAACCACGCCCTGCTCGGATCGCCTGTTGGACAACCTCCTCTTTGGTGTCGCCCTCCACTCCGGCGCCAGTGTCGTCGATGTAGGACGAGAAGGAGATGTACTGGTGCAGCGCAATGTAGGCGCCGTACTCCGCAACGGCGTGAGCCTTTATGACTATGTCTGCATCTCCATCTCCTGCAGGGAGCCCATCTGTCGCATACTGTGGCCGCATGCCATGGTGAGAACGTGCTCGAATGATCCGCGGGCTCTGCCATTGGTTGAAGATCAATTTCATGTGACCATCCTTCGCACCCAGTCGGCACAGCTTGTCGCGAAACTGAGCCAGCTCGATCGTCTCGTAGTACTTGCTGTGGTCAGCGATGAGGGTCGCCGTATGCCTGAACCGCGATGCGCACGCTTCAGCCCGCGCCGACAGCTTCCAGGCACTGTCTATCGCTGACCTGCCCGCCGCCGCTCCCCAGTAGCTTCTGGCCACGTGGTCTTGAAGTTCATCAAACCCAGCTCGCCTCGCACGCTGCAATGCCCGATAGCTGGACGAGTAGAGGATGATGAGGCGGTGGCCACCTGCCGCTTTCGGTAGCATCGGCATGACCATCCACGTGAGCTGCTTGGGGCACAGTCCAATCCTTTCGCTGGCTCCCCACAACGCGCTGAGGACCTCTACGCCAGCGTCAGACAAGTGCTGGTGGTGCGACGGGTGGATGCCATCCAAGCTGCCGGACGTGCGCGTCGAGAAGCTCGCTGATGCTCGCTTGATTGCCGACGCCGTCGCTCTCGGAAGGCTGCTTCTGTTAGGTGCCCAAGCTGGCGGCGCTGTGGGCGTCGATCGCCATAGTTGGATGTGCACGTTTTCAGCATCTTCAACTATACGATGACGATGAGATTGGAACTGGTCAGGTTGGCCGCGAATGATCGTGGGTGCCTGAACGTCCTTGTACGTCGTTACTCGGTGTAGCTATCCAGCTCCATCTTCACTAGCTCCATCGCACCATTGCTTCCAACGCTGAGCGCTGTCACGATCCGCTGCTTGCTTGGCCATGCCGATGTCCTCCGCCGACTCCTCGATCATGTTGATGGGGCCCTGCGATGAGGCATTCGGTGCCGCGAGTGCCCGCCGAGCGTGAGCCACTACAGCATCCAGACGCTGACTGACGCCTTGCCCAGCATAGTCGGTGGAGACGAAGCCGTGGATCTCATCTTGCAGCTTGTTAACATCGACCGAGGGCCGGTGGGACTGGAGCTTCGCGATCGCTGAGAGCGCGTCCTCATACCACTTCCAGCCGTCAGCGACAGCCTGAATGCCTTCTGGGTCCGACCCTTCATACATGTAAGAGACCCACTTAGGTCGTAAGTCGCCGCCGTACGAGTGCGCCTGGATTGGGGCGCCAGTGAGATGCCCAAGTCTGATAGCCGCCTGCGCAGCAAACCGAGCCCACGCGGTAGACAGCAGCCGCCAGGCAGAGCCCACCGAGCCAGACAAGGCCATCTCCGCAGCACTCTCAGCGTAGCTTCTCTCGAGCTCCCAGTTGTGCTCGTCCTGCAGCATGGGCCCCGCTTGCTTGGACGCCGCGATCTTGCCCCCGCCCACGTAGGTGAGGTACATCAGCTGCTTGCCCATAGTAGCAATCTCCACGACCACTGGTCGATGTGGTTTGATGGTCCATTTCATGTCCGCTTGGATGGCCTTCGCGAGCCTCATGGCCCCCGATGTGAGAGCGAAATAGTCGCTCACCGGGTTGGCCGTCGCCGTCCTGCACGTGATGGACTTGGGTACCAGCAGGGAGACCTGGGCTTGAGCCGTGAACGACGATGCCTCGACCTCCGCCGCAGCCATGTTCCAGTCACCACCTATGATGGAAGGATGCGGCTGCCCTGCCAGCGCCAGCCCCACGTTCATAAGGATCTTGGCGGTCTGAAAAGACATGCCCTCGCCCGTGTGCAGGTAGATGTTGAAGATGTTGAGCGGTGGCCACCCAGGAACTTCAACCGCTGCATGTTGGGCCCGAAAAGGTACCAGCTCGCTGCCGAAGGAGATCTGCTCATTGACGGTGGACCTCCGTGCTGCAGGGCTCGTCGTAGGGTAAGTAGGCCCACGTAGCCCGATGTCTTCACGCGCAAAGATGGCCAGACCTGCCGCTGGGAGCTTACCTGCAGTAGGGGAGCCTGGGACGACCATGACGTTCCACTTGTGGCTGGCACACCAAGAGCTGAGGGCTTCGCACTCCCAGTCGTGGTGCCCTATCTCCTGCGCGAGCACGATGAGGGACTTGGTGCAGCTTAGCCTCTTCTTAAGCGTCTGCTTCCCTTGGTTCGCGTTGTACGTCTCGATGAAGTGGGGCTCCAGCACCTCGCTCGGCATCGAGGCCTCCGCAGAGTCGCGACGCCGGACGCTCAGGCCCGTCACGACGGGCACCCGTCGCCCAGCACGGTCGCTGATAGGAGCCGCCTGTCTTGGCCGCCCCTCCGCTGTCGAGCTTGCGATGCTTCGTGTTCTGGATGTTGCCGACCATCTCGGCCAGCTGCTCGGGGCTGACGGACACGTCGCTCTCGCTCTTGCCTTGGTACATGGCTCGGTGGAGTTCCTCGACGTCAGCTTTTTCCCACATAAAAGATGACTCGCGTTTGTCATGTCGACCTCCCTGCTCGTCTGCAGCAGGTTTCCCTCCTCCCTGAGGCTCGCCGTCGCCGGTGTGAGCACCAGGCTCGCGAGCAGGAGGAGGCTCAGGAGACCTCGCCTGAGCAAGTCTGGCCGCCATGTTCTGCCTGCACAGCTCCTCCATCTTGGCGAACAGGGGGTTGGCCGAGAACGAGGTGTAGAACTGCAGCAGGTCGGGGTCCGACTTGAGCTGGTCAAGGTCAGGGTCGAGCCGCAGGATGTCGGGGGGCACCTCCGGGCCAGCCCAGCTCGGCCGCGCGCCCAGCCAGCTGCATCGTGAGAATCTGCTCCTCGGCGACCTTGCTCTCCAGGAAGTCCTTCTTCTCGTCCAGCTCCCTCTGAGCCTTCTCCAACTTCTGCTGCAAGGACTGCAGGTCATTCTTCGCCGTGCCGATCTGCTTCTGAACCCGTTGAAGCTTCTGCGTGCACTGCTTGTGGGCCATGGCAGGCTTGCGCAGCGACTGGGCCTGCAGCTTGGTCGCCTCCGGCTTCCTCTGAAGGTCGCGCGCCAGCTCGTCCTCGCCGTCGTCCTTGTATATCTTGATGGTCTGCTCGTACTTGGAGATCCTCGCCTGCAGCTCCGTGCGCTGCGCGACCGATGAAGACGCCGCCACGTTGTCTCCATCTTCGGCCTCGTCAACCTCCATGTCCGAGGGCTTGCCGTCATTCTTCTTGAGCTTTTTGTTCTCTGCCAGGAGCTGCTTGAGCTGGTTCAGCATCTTGGCCATCTCCTTGGCCTCAGGAGCCCAGGGCGCGAGGGTAGACCGAAGGCCCGCCCCGCCCACAGACTTCGAAGGCGGCCTTGTAGCAGGTGGTCCATTCGCGCCCGACTCTCTGGCTTTCTGATCAGCTTTCCTTGCCTTCTGCACCGCGTGATACGGGGGCGCCTTGCAGCAGCGGCAGACGATGCGGTAAGCCCAATTTGAACTCGTGCCGCAGCTGGGGCAGCCCCACGTGGGTTCACGCGGCCCATGGAAAACCCGCGCTTGTCGTTCATCAGGCTGCGGCACCATCGAGCCCGAGGAGGAGGAACCGTGGTGCATGTTGAGCCTCTCTGCCGCGCTCTGCAGCAGGGCCTGGGGGCGGGGCGTGGCCTTGCCCGCCCAGGCGCGCAGCAGGGCGCGATCCGCCGCTCGGCGGAGCCGCGCGCGATGATGGCTGGCCGCCTCCCTTGGCGGCGTCGTGCCGTGCGCTGGTCTCGGCGCGCGCGGGGGGGCCCTCGCCTGCGCTGGCAGGCACCCAGGGGGCACACCTCGCGAGCCGAAACTAAGGGCGAGGGGGAGAAGAGCAGGCAGGAGGGGAAGGGGGGAGGGGGAGGGGGAACAGGGGGAGGGAAAGACGAGTAGGGAGGAGGGGGGCATCGGTCACCGTCGCGGCCGAGGCGCTCGCGAGCTGCCGGGGAGGCGGCTGCTGCTCAGGTGCTGGCTGCGCTGGGGCCTCCACCACCCGCCCTTGCCTCCTTCTCGGCCCATGCCTCGAGCCCGTCGAGGGGCCTGGCGAGCTTGGGCTTGGCCTGGCGTTGCGCAGCACCTCGAGGTCTTCCTCGTCAAGATCGGCACTGTCGCCGCCGCCACTCGCATCACCGCCTGCGGCCATGCCTGCGTCGCCAGGTGGCCGCCAGGCCTGCGCCGTGCCGACGGAAACGGCGTAGGCTCGGCTGGCTGCAGCCGCTGCCTCCTTGGCGCTCGAGGGCCTGGGACGCGGTGGTCTGGGCCTCGATGGCGCTTTCGAGTCCTTCGCGAAGCTGTAGCACACGTTGATCGGCGTCGTCCTCGTGCTTGGGAGCCCTCTCCATGGCCTGCTGCCGTAGTGTGAATGCGCTGCCGAGGGACTTGACGCAAGTTGGATCGGCTCGGCCTTGGACGACGATGTCCTTGACCTTGTTGAGCTCGCCCTGGGTGGCCCCCTGCTTGCCGAGCAGTGGGACATTCTCTTCCAAGGAGAACGTCAGAACGGATATGGCCGGAGCAGCAGCAGGACCATGACTGAGAATCTCCCCGGATACGCACAAAAGATCCTTCTTGAGCCCGTCGGTCCACTTTCACCGTGAACAGGCGACGCAGACGACGTACTCCCTGGCATTCTGCTGCTTGGCCATCTGCTGGTACCATCCCTTGAACTTGTTCCAGCGCCGCTGCGCCGCAATCGCAGCAAGGCGAGCGGTTGTCCGAAGCCATCGGTAGTGGTGCGCGCAGAAGCAGCCTGGAGGCACCCGCCTTGAGCCAGCCCCTCGGCTCGAGCCAACATATCAACGGCTTGAGACAACATGGCTACAGCCTGGCGCAACCCTACACCGCTCGTTCTTCCCCCATCATCCTCCTGCCCCTGCTGCTGCTGCTGCTCCTCCTCCTCCTCCTTCTCCACCCCTTACTCCTCCTTATCCCAGCCCTCCTCCTCCTCCTCCTCCTCCTCCTCCTCCTCCTC